GCATAGATGCGTACCGCCTGGTGGACGGGCGCGGAAACTGCGCAACAACTTCTGTCTTAGCACGTGGCCAGCGTTGATGGAAACTGAGCAACAGCTTCTGCGGTGCGGGCAGAGGAGCTGAAAACTGCGTGAGAGCTTCTGTGGTGGCTGGCGTGAGGTGGCGGTTGCTCGTACCCCACGGTGGACAATCGGCCGGAGCGGCGCTTGGCTGCGAGGGCCGTTCGAGGCTGCTTGCAGCTTTAATTATTATTATTATTATTCTTCCACCCAAATGAATTGGCTTTTTGGGGGCTTTATCATATTCAAAAACTCACCAAACTTGGCGGAGGCCTTAAGCCTGTTTAAAATTTACGTATTTTAAAGTCGTAGAAAAAATTGCAACAGAAATGTCTCTACGGCGCCACCTAGAAATTGGAAAAAACCCTTTTTTACCCTCTGCTATTCACTTACTTTATCGTAGACACATGAAATTTGGTACACTTGTAGAACTCCCCAAGACGCTCAAAATTTACAATTAATGTCATAGTGCAAGTATCACAGGAAGTCAGCCATTTTTGATGAAGTTCCCATTTTGACCCCATTTTTGCTGATTTTTGCCGTTTACAGCCTTTGTATTTGATCTATCTCCTCCTAGGGATTTTGATTGATCGACTTCAAACTTGGTCAGTCTGTTCATAAGGCATGTCCCATCTAAAGTTATCTAAACGGTGAGTTTTTGAGTATGCTGAAGGGGGGTTAGCAGGGGTCAAAGTTCACCTACTCGTCATAAAAAATAAACTGCTATATCTCTTACACAGAAACTCACAGAAGCATCAAAGTTTCTGTGATTGATCATCATCGGGTCTTCTACAATACCCTATGGTCGAATGATGACATCACTTAGGCCACGCCCCCTGAGAACAGGAAGTGTAATGTTTTACTGTGAACTGTCGCTATCTGACCCCTTTGACCTCATCAACATGAAACTGTGCCCAGACACAGAGAACATGTTGGTGTATTGAGGATTCCAACCCCGACCAGCTTCGATGGAGCAGGTGGGCGTGGTGGCGTGGCGAAGTCACCTGTAACGCCATCGCCATACGTTTGGCTCTCAATTCCACATTTTCGGGCCCAGCTGCTGCAAACTCATAAGGATGGATCCTCATCCACTCCCCAACAGGAATCCATCACAATATTTGGTGGGCGTAGCCTAATTTCTCTATAGCGCCCTCTAGAAAACTTTAAATGATCAGCCCCAAGCCATGCTTTAACCTACAAATACGAAACTTTGTACACATGTGTATCTTGTCAGGACGTAGAAAAAAGTCTCTTGGAGCCATGGTCTAAACCCCACAGGAAGTCGGCCATTTTGGATTCAATTTCGGTTTTTGACCCCATTTTTGCCGTTTACAGCCTTCATATTTGATCTATCTCCTCCTAGGGATTTCGATTGATCGGCTTCAAACTCGGTCAGTATGTTCATAAGGCATGTCTCATCTAAAGTTATCTAAACGGTGAGTTTTTGAGTATGCTGAAGGGGGGTTAGCAGGGGTCAAAGTTCACCTACTCGCCATAAAAACATAAACTGCTATATCTCCTACACAGAAACTCACAGAGGCACCAAAGTTTCTGTGATTGATCATCATCGGGTCTCCTACATTACCCTATGGTCGAATGATGACATCACTTAGGCCACGCCCCCTGAGAACAGGAAGTGTAATGTTTTACTGTGAACGTTCGCTATCTGACCCCTTTGACCTCATTAACATGAAACTGTGCCCAGACACCGAAGAAATGTTGGTGTATTGAGGATTCCAACCCCGACCAGCTACGATAGAGCAGGTGGGCATGGCGGCGTGGCGAAGTTACCTGTAACGCCATCGCCATACGTTTGGCTCTCAATACCACATTTTCGGGCTCAGCTGCTGCAAACTCACAAGGATGAATATTTATCCACTCCCCGACTGGAATCCATCACAATATTTGTAGGGCGTGGCCTAATTTCTCTATAGCGCCCCCTAGAAAACAGCAGCCCATAGGTTATGTTGTTATTAATTATTTAAATATACATTATTATAAATTTTTATATATATATAAGTTTATTTTGTGGGTTAAAGTACAAACATTCATTCATTTTTGCTAGAAATAATACAAACAAAGTCATTCAGCAAAACTTATGACACAGCGAAGTAAGAACACACTGGGGTCAGTGTTCATGGAGTACCACTGGCACCTTGTGGAGAAATACTGGTACTGCTAGTGCAATACCAGTATTGCGACAGCAGGAGGCAGTGGTACTCCATCAATGAGAAAACAGATCGACGCTACGTAATAACAGTCAGCTGGCGACAGCTGGAGCTGCAAAGTTTTCCTGAACATTTTGCTTGCTTTTTGGAGCGACAGAACTGGATTACGCTCAACATTTTGCTTGGATTTTGGAGTTGCAAATACGAACCACGCTTTGGAGCAAGAAGGCTCTGTTGGACCGGAGTTGGAGAAGTTTAATGGGCTCTTTGCACCTCAGCTTACACGTTCGGGAAACACGGCTGAAATGTTTTTCCAAGGTAACAATTAATAATGTACATCGATCCGAAACCCCAACAAGTAAGGCAAAGAAAGGTTTTAAGATGTTCGCCTCGTTATACATTCACAGATATGAAGGTGAGTTTTATTTTCTTTAAACTGCTAGCACAAGCCTGCTAGCTTTCTAGTAAGAATCTGCTATTTAATTATCTAAAGATTTCTCAGCCATTCTAACGGACACTGTTTGTGCCTTATTTTCAAGCATATTACGTGTGTTTATTGTTAACTGGAGAGGGGGTGGGGGGGCAGATTACAGTTCAGACTTTTTGCTTGAAGTATGACGAAGAAAAACGAGCACAGAGCTTACTCTGGTATCGGAGTTCTAGTTCAGCTGACTGTTCAGATTCAGAGTTATTACTTTTAGAAAAATATGGCCGTGTTGCTTAAGATTTCTGTGTTATTTCGTTTTATTACTTTTGCATGCTTGTTGTGAATGGCTCATTAAGACAGTGTTTAGAGCGGTGTGTACGGCGTTAGCTTCAAATGGTAGCTTTAACTTGTAGCAACGAATATTTACAAGCTGTCTTAATTGAGGATGGCTTGGAAATCCATGAAAACTTAAACAAAGTACATAGTATTGTTTTATTTGTGTCTTAAGTACGACTTTGTCTTTTATAGCAGTCATAGTTTCTGAAAGTGGAAAAAAGAGCCGCATTCGGGTATACAGTTGTGACGTCAGCGCGGCAGGTGCAAAGAGCCCATTGCTGTTCGTTTAAACAGTCGTAACTCGCGGTGCGGTGAGTAATTTATTCCTTCCTGCTGGTTCTGGAAGCCGTCATGTTTGGAACAGTTATTCTGAGGAGGATGCTAACCCAATGCCTGAGGCCTGCAACGTTTTTAATGCTAACGAAGCGCTTGACTAATTCAATAAACTGAATAGTGTGTTTGATACATCCAGTTTCATACATTCAGAGTTGTTTGTTATTATGTATAGAAGATGTTTAAAATGTCGTTTGAAAGAGCTCTGAGAAAATGCTAAGTATCTTTTTACAGATCCATTGGGGTTGTAATATTTAGTTGCAGCACTTCCTGTGATTAATACCTAATTAATGGATGGGATTCAGCCTGTGCTATTGTTCTAAAGTGCTGAAAGTTAACTGTGCTCTGTTATTGTGCATTGCCCTTGGTTTATTACTGAACAGTGCGGTTTATTAAACTGATACATCTTAACCTTCACCATTTTCCTGACTCATTTCACGATAACGTTAAAGTTGCACTGCATTTACATCTCAGTTGTAGTTAACATCAAGCATGTGGGTGTGGCTTAGTGTAAAACTTTCACTATTTACCATGAAACATCAACATTAAATGACTTCCAAATGCAAGATCACAGCTGCATCATCACACTTCCTCTGTCTTTCTAGAGAACAGCCCTGAACACATTTCCATGGTCACTTGATGACCTCACTGTAGCCCCGCCCACTTTTAAGAGGCAGTCACATGTTTTTTCTGCTGTATGTTTTACTGTTATTCTATAATTTATATGGGTTTCATCATGTGAATACTGACTAAAAACGATAACATGATGAACTCTATGAATGCTGGCTGCTGACCGAACCGCATTGGGGTGTAGAAATGACGAAATGCATTACTTCGCCACGTGCATATGATCGGCTCTAAATGACACGTGGATCATCGGACTGGCGCCAAATTGAAAACGTATGACCTTTGTTGACCTCTAAAGAGCAAAACAGCATTGAAATGTATTTTGACTCCACTGCGCCCCTACATTAATCCGCCAGCTGTATTTCCTCGCTAAACCAATGAATCTATACCACATTTTTTTGCATCTTGAAGGATAGCCGCCGAACGCATAGATGCGTACCGCCTGGTGGACGGGCGCGAAACTGCGCAACAACTTCTGTCTTAGCACGTGCGCAGCGTTGATGGAAACTGAGCAACAGCTTCCGCGGTGCGGGCGGAGGCGCTGAAAACTGCGTGAGAGCTTCTGTGGTGGCTGGCGTGAGGCGGCGGTTGCTCGTACCCCGCGGTGGCAATAGGCCGGAGCGGCGCTTGGCTGCGAGGGCCGTTCGAGGCTGCTTGCAGCTTTAATTTTTTTTTTTTTTTTTTTTTGCCAAAGCAGCAAAATTCATTGGAATTGAAACTGAAAGTGTCCTGCACTGGGTTGCCACATTCTTATTTAAAACATAAACCAGACAATAATTCAACTGTTTTCACTATGGGGAGAAAGATCCCAAGATAGAAAGATACAGTGACAAGTTGAACCCTTTTGTCAAGACAGTTATCATGTCAATGTATAAAAAAAAATACATGTTTAGGTAACTTGCAAATTAGTTTCAGGCTTATTGTTTTCTGATGTTCATGTTTCTCCCCGCAATGATCTCGCGAGGACTGGGGAACCGTTCGGGGGCCTGTGAGGAAAACCTGGCAACCCCGGAGGGAAGTCTCGTGTAGTTTGAAAAGCTTTACAGAGAATATTGGCTAACGGCCGAGAGGCAGTAGTTGTTCGCTCGGGGTTTATTTTGATATATTGAGTCGCGTGAAGACTATGAACCACAGCCGCAAGTGCGTCCTCTGCCACGGGCTCGATGAGACGCCGACCACCGGACCTTTATCGAAGAAAGAGCAGGTCACTGCCCACCAGAACTGCCTGGTAAATACAACAGTTTCTGTCACTGCAAACCGCCTTCAAAACAAAACACTGAAGACCACCGGAAGTAGAGAGGGGTTTAAAAAAATGGCGGTATGAATGATTTAATAACAGTGAGCTGGTGTTTAGTTTGTTGTTGTTTTTTTAAAGGTGGAGGTGCGCTTTTTAAAGTGCAGCATGTTGCTGTAATTTTAAAATAAACGCGCCTGTTTTGTATGACATTTTACACATTGTACTAAAAATGCAAATAAGGCAGAAATGAGAGTAAGAGGCTGATCTGGTGATGAGATTCAGCCATGATCTCTCTCTCTCTCTATATATATATATATATATTTATTGATATAAAACATATGAAGCTAATGCAGTTGGTAATATATTTGTGTATTAGAAAAGGGTAAAAAGCTTCAGTGGTAATAGATGGTTTATTTTATTGATCTACAAGTGGATCTGTAGGCATAGAAAAAGACATTAGAATAATAAAACCTTTGTAAAAACAATAATTTTCACTAACACACCATTGGTGAGTGTGTCTGGTGTGATTTTAGCAAAAAACAAAAAAAAAACCAAATCATTCAGTTAAGTTAGTATCCAGATATTTCACTCAAGTAAGATTAGAGGTACTTCTTAATAATATTAATCAAGTAAAAGTAAAATATACAGCATGGTAAAATTTAAACGCACATTAAAAAAAAAAGTTAGACAAGTAAACTTATCAAAGTCTCAAATACAGCACACAGTAAGTAGTATCTTTTGTGACTTGAGAGGTGAGTCAGGTTGTCATCCCACCAGTTAAACTAATAAATACATGAAATAATCCCTGTACATTGTATTCCTTAACAATATCAATTTTAAATAAAGTGCATCACCCGATACAATATACGACTATGTAAGGAGCATGTAACGCTAGCAGGTTAACCGTGAATAAAAACATACTTTGACATTTGTGGATGCAATGTGACAAAATGTGACAAAGCTCATGAATACCTGTCCAATATAATAAGCCTTAAATAAGTTACATCTTATCGCGTGAGCTTGATCCCAGAGACTTGCTTTGTTTGTTTTCTAGCTCTATTCGTCTGGCATTTTTTGCACCAACACGCCGCAGTTCGACGACCTGTTCGGCTTCTCTGTTGATGACGTGCTGAAGGAGGTGAAACGAGGACGCAAACTGGTGAGGACCGTCCCGACGTGAACAGATTCCTCCTGTTTGCTGCCGTCTCTTTTACTTCACCCGTCATCCTCTCCGTCTTAGCTGTGCACACGCTGCAAGAAGAAGGGCGCCACGGCGGGGTGTGAGGTGAAGCGCTGTAAGAAGAACTTCCACTACCCGTGTGCCGTGGAAGAGGGAGCCAAGACATTTGAGGATAACGAGAACGGGAAATTTGGGTACCAGGAAAATGGGATCACATTCTAGAGAAATGTCTTTTTTTCTTTATGTATTTTTTTTCACTTTATCTTTGTTGTGCGACAGACTGCACTGCCGAATGCACAGTGATCCGGGTAAGTGTTCGGATCTGCATGGCTTCATGCTTTTGATCTTCCAGTAAATAAGTCGGAAGCAATTAATCGGATTAGTTGTGATGTAACATTGAAATCGAATAGTTGACAATAGTCGATAAAAGCAAAATGGAAACTTGCTGATTAAGCAAGACGCTCAGAGCAGTTACTGAGCCAAATCTGTACAAAAAAATATATACATTTTGTACATAAGAGAAAAAATGATTTGTCTGTAAATAAGGTCAGTCACAGTTTTAGCTTCACTTGGTTCAAATTCTGTAAAAAACAAATCTTTATTAAGCTATTCAATTATTAATGTTGATGTTTGAGCTATGTTTTCAGCTGTAGATGCATCCTTTGCTATAAATGATCAAGCATTCACTAAAAGGAATGCTGTTATTGAATTGAAGTATTTATTTTCTTATTTATAAAAAGAAAAGGAATTGATTAATTATCTGCGTCTTTTAATTCGTTTTTTAATTTTGTATAAAAAGGCTTAAGATGTTATGGAAAACCTGCAGAAAGTGCCAAATTTTCTTATCCGATTAATGGTCACGAAAATCGATTACTAAAATGATTGTCACTTTTAATGTTTGATTTTTTTGAACTATTCCTTTTCGCAGAAAATCGCAAATACAAAACGTCCCGATCCAAGAACCCCAATAAAGCCGGATCATCAAAGGTTTGTATTCACATTTATTAACGGGACACATTTGTTATTGATATGAAAGGTAATTTTCCCTGAATTATTTATTATAAGTACATGCAAATCCTTTTTTAGAGTTCTGTCCCTTGTATAAAATCACGATACCCATGTTTTGTTCTTATGAGACTTACTGCATCACCTGTGAGAGGAAAGAAGGAAATATCAGCTTGGACAGTTTATCCAACAGCATTGTTATGTGAGTATCTCACAATCATCCGCTTTCATTTCCACTTCCATTATTACAGTTCACATCAACTCAGAGGTTTGTGTTTTTTTAGGATGTTCTGTGCCCAGCATGCTCCTTCATCACTTCAGACGAAAGCCAACGGTAAGAGCTGCTCAAGCGCTTCGTGCTCGCTCGTTTTTTTTTTGTGTTTGTTTTTGTTTGCTTGTTTTGTTTTGCTTTTATTTTCATACATTTTTAGCTAAATCTCGTAAACCTTCTTGCAGGCGATGCTTCAGCTGCCCTGTGGTCTTCCTCATGCAGTGACTCATCAAGTGTATCACTTACCAAGGTTTTTATACATTTTCATTATTTTTTTGTTTGTTTGTTTTTAATCGCATTGATTTCTACCCAAATTTTGACTGTGGTTGTTTGTTTGTTTTGCTTTTTAGAGACAGCTAAATTTTGATGAACAGTAAGTAACAATTTATTTTTTATTACATTTTCCCGCCTTATGATATATGTGAAACAACACTGCGTTGGGAAAAATTGTCCTCATGAAATGTCTTTTATTTACTTTAAAAGTAATCATACTTTTTTTTATGATGCCAGAAACGCCCTGGGAAGTTACAGTGATGCAAATAAAGCATCAGATGGTCACATAATTTAAAAAACTGGCATCTCCTTCCAAAAAATGTGTATTAAAACCGTGGGGAAGATACAAATTGGTAAAAACATCTACATCAACAAAATCATCAAATGTCCAAAAGCTTAAAAACTCATATTATTTAAAGAACAGTGGATTATGTGGTGATAGCCCCAAAAGTAAAAATGAATAATTAATATTTCTTCTTTGAATCGTTCTTTCGGGTGAGTCAGTGGAAGCTGCAGTGATACCTTGAACCTCTTCCTCACAGGGACGAAGACGGTGCGTTCAGAAGGAAATCGGTAAAAAGGAGCAGGATCCTGTCCGATGATTCTTCAAACGCAGGTTAAAACTCGTCCAGTCATAAAACAGAAACTATTTTTGTTGGTATTTTTTGTATTTACACTTTCCTTGTTTCCTGCAGATGAGGAGGGACTCATTGCGCCTTTAGAGTCAGACTTTGAGGAAAGTGCGACCTTTGTGCAGGAGCATGAAGTAGGCTGGATGTTTTTTGTTTTTTTCCCACATCTTTGAGCCTGAAGGTGATTTAATAATCTCATGTTTTGTGCCTTTCAGTCAGCTCTCCCTCCACTCATCAGGTACCACATCATGCATTTTTTTACTTTCTGACTATGTCAATGTGGATAAAATTAAACAAAACATCTGAAAAATGTTTTTTTTTTTTCGCCATAAATGTAAATTATTATGCACAACTGTTCCTGATGTTCTCCTCTCACAGCAGGGAGTCAGAAAAGCCTTCATGTTCCTCAGCAGGTGAGCCCTCCCTCCACTTTTACCAGAAATATAATCAAAACGTAAAAAAATTTTCTAACGTCTGTCTGTTTTTTCAGGGCTTCAGGTAGAGAATATGGATTCAGACTTCAATAACAACGACGACGACACAGTCATACACTCTGTGAGTTCTCAGTCCAGCCTTCAATGCAGATCAAGATTCGATTTATGTAACTTCTCTGATTCAGCATCAACAAAACGTGATGGTTTATTGATGCAACGTGTGTCGTTTCCTCTCAAGGATGCGGAGTCCGAGAGTTTGCTGTCCCCGGTGGAGTTTTACCCGGGTCCCTCACCTCCATCCGTAACTAACGAGCGCCTGCGGGTTCAGCTGATGGAGAAAGGGGTGCAGACAATAAAAAAAGAAAATCAAGGTAGGATTTAAATCTACTAGAGAATCTGAGCAGTTCTGTTGGGTGGACAACATGCAGCGCTTCAGTTGCAGATGGATTATTTCAGATTTGTGAAAGAAAAAAAAGTTCCAATTATGTCAAAGTAGCACGTAAGAAAACGAGAAAGTGTGTCTCGTTGTCTGACGTGTCATTGAGAAAATTACATTTAACCAGAGTCTGGATGAGAAGAAATAAGAAATGTATTAAAACCTTGCAAGACGAGAACCGAAACAGTCAGAGGAGTCTGTCAGTCTGATCTGACTTCATTTTATAGGTTTAATTCGGAGCACATGATAAGATTTTCCATTACACCTGTTGATAAACAGTAAGCAGTTTGTCCGTCCTCATTAAATGACTCCACATATTCATGTTTGCAACATGGCTGCAGTTTGAACCTTGTTACCAGAATGGAGCGGGATCTCCCACCGTTTGGTGTGAAACGATTAATCGCGATCAATCGATTGTTTAAAGCGTCGACTAATTTAGAATTTCATTCTTCATTAATTGGAGCAAACAGAAAGAAAAGTAAATTAATGCTGTTATTGCATTTTAGACAATTATACATTTGTCCCATTTAAAAAAAGGAACTTATTTATTTGCATCTTTTGATGTCGCATTTCTTGTTACATTTCTAATATTGTATAAAAAAGGCTTAAGTGGTTAAATGAAAATGTGCCAATTTCCTCTCTGATTGACAGATGAAGATTACTAAAAGGATCATCAGTTGCAGTTGTTTAGATCAAGTCGTCGTTCTAAATCATCATCACAGCTGATCTTGAAATCGGCTGTGATGACGTCGCTCTGTGTCTGTCCTCAGAGTCCAGACTCCAGCAGCACGAAGAACACGTCACCAGATGGGCCGTCCCTCATCAGAGCGCCGTCCCTCATCAGAGCGCCGCCCCTCATCAGAGCGCCGTCCCTCATCAGAGCGCCGTCCCTCATCAGAGCGCCGCCCCTCATCAGAGCGCCGTCCCTCATCAGAGCGCCGCCCCTCATCAGAGCGCCGCCCCTCATCAGAGCGCCGCCGACCCTTACCCAGAGCGCTCCAGCAGCGCTCCGCCGTGCACCAGCTCCAACTTCATCGCAGCTCCACCCAGATCCGACCGCGTGACTGTTATCCCGCCCCCGCCCCGTTCTTCCGCCCAGAGCCTGTTCCCTCCCCACTCTCTTCCTCGCTCGGAGCCCTGCCCCACCCGAGCAGCTCCCTCACCTGTCGTCGACTCGGCCAGCTTCTGGAGGAAGTGCAACACGGCTGGATGTACGCAGGCCATCTTCACTGAGTTTATTAGAGAAATTAACAACATTTCCAGCAGAATCCAGTGTGATGAGGCCAGTCAGGAGGGTGAGGAACAGAGAAAACTTATGTGCTAAACACAACTACAGCGGCAAAGTTTACAGGTCACTCCTGGTAAAGATGGATATAAAAATTCATATAATTTATTTTTATTACCTCAATGATGTGTTTAGAAAAAAAGTACAATTTATATTTGAATAAAAATATTTTTTCAATTTTCAAAATGCACACATTTAGACACGCCGACCAACTTCTATGAAATTGACGTAGTTAAAACTTTTATATTAATGTTATCAGAGTTTCTATCAGTGTTTCATTTATAACCCGTGACTTTCCGTTTCCCCGGTGAATGAATACAATGACATAGATTTCACTAAAAACAGAAAAGACTTAATAAAATATTCAAGGCGTCAATGAATGTTTAAGAACGGTTCTTACTCATCTCTACCAGGAGGGCCAGTGAACGTGGAGCACAGTGTTGGTTTAAGAAGTGAAACTGAGATTTTCTCCACAGACTGTGACCGGGCTCTTTCAATGATGCAGGCTTCTGGAAGACTCACGGACCTCGTTACCAAGCAGGAAGAAGGTAAGTCGTTTTCCTCGCTCCTCATTCATGTTAAATAGTCAAAGAAAACTTTACATTCTGGGGATTATTCCTTCCTTCGGCTGTTGAGAAATAGGCTGAAGTTCTCGTCATTGGGTGAGCCGAGCAGAGAAAACTGCTGGTCAATAAACACTTAAATGTGTCAGCTGCTCTTAGTTTCAGCTCAAGGTTTTCTCACCTGTTGGACCAATCCATCTAGTTTAATGTAAAAAAAAAAAGTTACAGCAAGAATATATGTATCTCTTCTTTCATATGTGAAGATTTCAAATTTGTCCAGCTGGCCTGCGTCTGATCTCTGTTTAAAATGAGCAGAGCTGCAGCTGGACTCATTTGAAATGAAAAAAACAAAACGATAAAGTCCAGTGGTGTTTGGATTTGTAGGGGGTTTATTTGCTCTTAGTATTAATTTCCATAAATAGTCGGCATCAAGCTGCAGCCTCAGCAGTAAGCGCTGCTTTTCTGTTGAGTCTCCAGTAAATGTGTGAATGTTATAAACGAGGGAAACTGTAAACCCCCCTTTTTGCGAATAAATAGGTTATTGAAGTTACAATATATTGTAATAAGCCTGTACCTAAATTGTTTTAGCTTGCAAACAAGTTTAAATTTGAATCTAAAAATGCTGATTTTCAGAGTTGCAAAGGAAACAAGTGGAGCTGCAGCGAGCGTCAGCATCTCTGAAGGAGGTCGTCTCCGCTCTGAGACGATGAGACGTGGCACAGAGGGACGCTACTTTTCATCAGTGATCTTCTAGTTTTAATTTAGTTTTACTCTTTAGTTTTTACATTTTCATGAGGATAAGGAAGTTCAACTAACTGTGGTAATATCCGGCTTCCTGATATGTGAAACCAATATATTTAAATGTTCATTTCTGTAAAGTTCCTTATGTGTTCAGGTTATTGATGTATTTAATGTATTTAAAAATATATATTTTTTTATGTTTCAATGCACTGTTGTTCATTATCATGAGATAAAAATATTAATATTCTGTGTTTAAAACTGATTTGGTTTCTTATTTTAATGACCTGAAAGATTACTGTGCCGTTTACAGTGACATGCTAAGTTTGGTTTTAGAGTCTGCACAGATTTATGCACACGCATTTGGTTACAAGTGTTTTTGATAAAACGCTTTAAATATATATATTTGAAAGTGTAATTTTTGTGCTCTATTTTTATTCATTTCGTGACTTTGTTCTGGAGGCATATCAAGAAAATCCACTCTTACTGAAATATTCCCTTTGTGCACAGAAATACTTTTTAACAAACTTCAATTTAATTCTGCATCACATTTTATTGTGCTAGCGCATGAGTCATCAAAGTGCTGCACACTTTTGAAGTTCCATAATGTTATACACGTTTTATTTAAAACCTCATTGTGGGGATGGTGCATTTGGGGTCAGGCGCAGTGTTTGATCACGGCTGCTTCAGTGAACTATTCAAATTTGCTTTGAAAAGCTACTTATAGAAACAAATGCCTATTTTGTAAGATTAAAGTATGTTAGGTATTACTAATCAGCTCTTAGTAAATTGGTCAAATATGAAAAAGAAAATCTTATCGTTTCAGAAAAGTGTGGAATTTTATTTCAGTATTTTCCAGACTTATTTTCTCCCATCCTATCCTATCAGTGCTGCAGCCTTACTTGCCTTTCATTTTGATATTTTTCTTGTCCTTAAATCCTTTCTTACTTCCAGTTCTCATGCATGTCCTGCCTTTCTGTCCTTGAGAATATGGGAAATGGCTTTTATTGGACTTTATCCAACTTCAGAGTTCAGTCAGTCTTTCTCCCACTGCTGCCTTTTGGCCACCACCAGCCGGCAAAGTGGGGAAAGAATCTTGACCTGGGATGTAGTGGACAAATCACTGAGTAGGGATTTGAACCAGCGACCCGCTGTTTGCAGTAGAACTTCCTAAACCACTTGCCTTCTGTCCTCCCCCTTCCTTTGACCTTCCATCCTTTATTCATTCACTCGCTCATGAAAGTTTCCTCTTAAGTTAGAAAGATGAAACTACAGTTCATAGCACATACATTTGTGTTACATTAAATTTAAAAGGCACCACTCCATGAAAAAATGTCATCTGAGAGAAAAAATGTAACACAAGCCAGTCAAATTCTCTCTGAAGGAACAGCATCAGGAAGATCTGTGGGGGGGTAAATGTCTCTACCTTTAATATGACCAGGGGTAAAACATACTCATAGATAACAACCAGACAAATATTTTTGCTAATCTGTTTTCAGAGGTCAAAGCATTTTACTGACACTTATTCAGCATCAATAGAGAGATAGTTGTTGATTTTCAATGTCCTGCAAAGAATTCCGTAAAAATATAATACTCAAAGAAAACAATGAGATACAATAATACTGTCGAATTTAATTGTCAGTGAGATTCACGGAGGAAAAAAAAAAATACCTAAGCTAGCATCAGCAGATATGAAGCCACCAATAAATGTCACTGACCACGACCTCATTCTGGTGAGTGAAACTACATAAACTTAAAAAAAAAAAAAAAAACACTTTGATGGAAAAAAATCAATAGATAAAATCCACTAAACCTGGAGAACTATTCTTAGGCCTCTTTCCAACTCAAGTTTCTTTGGATCATTTTACCAGAAACACTAAAAGGCACTAATAGCTCCAACAGGGGGTTGACCTACACAGATGAACCATCAGTTTTCAGCCATTTCCTCTCATTAACTACCAGCACAGAGTCTCAATCTCCAAAGCATGAAAGTAAACACTGAACTGATTCATTCACTTAAATGAATACTTAAAAGTCTTTTAAGTTCAGCTAAAACAATACAAACAGCAGCACTCCTCTCTCCAGCCCAACACAATATGTGTAAATTAAAAAGCAAGGCACTGCAGGGAACCAGCTGCTGCTCCCAGTGTGAAACTATATATAACGCTCGCTCATGTTCAGACCCAGCGCCATGCTGAGAAGGGGAAGTTTTCCATTGTGCAAACATTCTAAGACTGGATTTGATGGTTTGCAGTAAAGCTGCTCTGGATCTGGAGTCTCTCTGGATGATTTCCCATCACTTCCTGCAGTCCAGGTTTAGTTTTTGAAGGCTCCACAGCGACTCGCTCGACAGATAAAGTCTTTAAGCAGATTGCCGTCAATCTGCCAGAAAGCAGCCGTCTGGGTCACCTCGGTCAGGTGGTTCACGCAGAACTTGAAGCAGAACTCTTCCAGGTCCTAAAGGGAAAAAGAAAAAGATAACAAGAAGAGCTTATTTTGGTCAAACAGGATGACCAAAATGAGTAATGAATGTCTGTGGTATTAGGGTGTTAAGACAAAACTTTGTTTTATTTCAATCAATCAAGCAGCCAAACAATTTCATCTATAAAGCAGCCTTCCTGTTGGAGGCAGCTTGCTGGAAACACTTAATAAAGGGTATTCCTGGACCGGGTTTGAACCGTCTAGGGTCACAGTCTGTAATACCAGACGTAAACTGAAACGAAGGTTACATATGTAACTACGGTTCTATGAATCCCGGATGACCGCCAGAGGGCGGTGCTGAAAGCACTGAATGTTCCCTTCGCGCATGCGCCGTTCGAGTAATAATGCCAAAAGAGTCACACCTGTGACATATCGGATGATCAATCAGAGGCTATATAGCATGACGTCATCCGATGCTCTGTTCCTACAGAATCTTCTCGCGAAATGCAAGAATTCTGAGTGACAGAGAAGCTCTGGCGGTCATCCGGGATTCATAGAACCGTAGTTACATATGTAACCTTCGTTCTATTTCATCCCTACTGACCGCCAGAGGGCGGTGCTGAAAGCACTGAATGACGAATACCAGCGATGTCACAAGGAATCCGAGCACGCACCTCACTGAGAAGGCCCAGAAGACCCTTGCAAGAGAACCTGGTCCAGAGGATGAGGATGCCACATTCACGTTGTAAAACCTAGTGAATGTGCTCGGAGAAGCCCACGACGCAGCAGCACATATAGCTTCCAGTGGAACTCCTCTCAAGGCGGCCCAGGAGGTGGAAACGCTCCTGGTAGAGTGCGCCGTCACGCCGACTGGCCGGGGATGGTGCCCCGCAGCGTAGGCGTGGCAAATGACATCCACAATCCAATGGGAGAGACGCTGTTTAGACAGAGGACAACCCAATCGAGGGCCCCCATAGCACAAGAACAGCTGGTCTGAACGTCGTAAGGCAGCAGTGGCTGCAAGATAGGCCTCCAGTGCCCTCACTGGGCACAGCAACTCAGGACCATCACCAGCGTCCCCTGAGATGGGCCGGAAACGCGCCAATTTCAACGGCTGGTTACAATAAGAAGGAGAAAACACCTTTGGGGCAAACGCCGGGTTCGGCCACAAGGTGACACCAGAGCCATCCGAACTCCACCTCAGGCACGATGGACTGACAGAAAGAGCATGTAGCTCACTGACCCTCTTAGCTGAGACAATAGCCAACAAAAAGGCAGTTTTACATGACAACCATTTGAGGTCTGCCTGAACCAGAGGCTCAAATGGAGGGTGGCACAGAGCACTGAGGACCAAGGACAGGTCCCAAACTGGTACTCGCGGCCAGTGGAGGGCGCAGCCTACAAGCACCATGCAAAAAAAGAGAAACAAGATTATGGCTCCCCACTGTACAGCCATCAATCTCAGCATGACAAGACGATATAGCTGCCACATAGACCTTAAGTGTCGAAGGGGAGCGGCCCTCATCAAGAAGGGACTGAAGAAACTCCAAAACAGTGGGAACCGCACAGGTGACCGGATCATCATTACGGGCAAAACACCACCGGGAAAACAGACGCCATCTGTTGTCATATTGCTGACGAGTGGAGGATGTCCTCGCACTCAAAATAGTGTGCCTGACAGGAGCTGAATACCCAGTCAGCTGCAGTTCAAGCCTCCCAGTGGCCACACCCACAGCCGGAGGCGGTGAGGATTGGGATGCCATATCTGACCCCCCAACTGAGACAGTAAATCCCTCCTGGGCGGGAGACCACGGGACACCGTGACACAGACTCCGTAGAAGTGGGAACCACGGCCGTGCCGGCCAACACGGAGCTACCAGCAACATCCTGTGGCCCTCCTCGAGCACCCTCCGAAGAGTCGGCCAAATCAGGGAAAGGGTGGGAAGGCATATAGGAGGACCCTGGGCCAAGGATGGGCCAAGGCATCCTGGCCCAGGGCACCGGCGGCCCCTGTAAGGGAAAACCACAGAGGACAATGAGTCGAGGCCTCTGTGGCGAACAGATCGACCTCCGCCTGACCGAAAAGGCCCCAGACCAGGCGGACCACGTCGCTGTGGAGGGACCACTCTCCCGGAGCCGACGCCTGTCGGGAAAGGGAGTCTGCTACCTGATTGCACAACCCCGGTAAGTACACCGCCTGCAGGGTGGACAGGTGAACCGATGCCCATACCAGGAGATCCTGGGACTCCTTCAGAAGCGACGCTGACCTGGTGCCACCTTGGTGGTTGATGTGGTAGACAACAGAGGTGTTGTCCGACCGAACCAGGACATGTCTCCCCTCCAGGCGGGGCAAAAAATGCCTGAGAGCCAAATGTACAGCACGCAGCTCCAACACATTTATATGCCTGGAGCGATCCCGCGGACACCAGCGGCCCCGAACCGCCTGGTGTTGCCACACAGCGCCCCATCCCACAGAGCTGGCATCTGTTGTGACCACCTCTCTGCGACACACAATCATACCCATGGACACACCCCTGGACAAATAGGTCCTGTCTCGCCATGGACTCAGGGCGCGAAGACACAGCCATGTCACCACGAGCCTGCGCCTGTGAAGCCTGGGATCCAGGTTCCAGCTGTTGACCCACCTCTGCAAAGGGCGCAGCGAGAGCAGACCCAAGGACACAACACGAGTAACCGATGTCAGTTTGCCCAGCAGCTGCAAGAAGGCAACGTAAGGAAGGGCCCTGCCCAGCCTGAATCGACTCACCAGCTGGAGAATGTTGTCCACCCTCTGGACAGACGGTAGGCCATCATGGAGGGAGAATCCAAACGCACTCCAAGAAAGTGGTTGTCTGCGATGGAATCAGACAGCTCTTCTCCAAGTTCACCCGGAGGCCCAACCGGGACACATGAGCGAGCAGGCGACTCGTATCGTGAGAAGCCTGCTCTCGAGACGGGGCGCAGAGAAGCCAATCGTCGA